CCCTAGTTTTGTGGATAGCACTCCTGCCTTGCAGCATGGGGGGGGTCCCTGATCCAAATCCTGGTTATGACATGGATGTCCTCTGCATAGAGTTTGCATTTTCCCCCCTGTACCTTGGTGCACCATATGTACGTGTGCGCACAAAAGTGTGCACGGTGCCCCTAATAAACTAACATTCATCAGGGGCATCTGTTTATTAGGCGCATAGTGCACATATCACACACCTGCAACACTGTCACTATGCAGAAAGCGATACAGCGAGCAGGTCATTGTATTGGTTCTTCTCCTCTTTCCCCTGTGATCCGGAAGTGAAATACAGGAAATACAGGCAGCAGAGCAACAAAGAGCTGACTGCTTCCTTTGGTTAGTGTGCATCCAGACTCTTATAATGGGGAACCTGCTGGCCGCATCCTCCCCACTACTCCGCTAAACAGAGAGAAGATGGAGGGAGGAGGCAACTTCTGGCTTTGTTCTGTCTGTTCAGCATCTGTACAACCACTTACCAGAGCTAGTCAGCCCATGGTAGCACACATATTAGTTTATAGGGCACAAAAACTGCTACAACTTTTTCAGGTTTTGGTGCACACTTTGCAAATCATCTTCAACACAGGCGTGCTATGTCGATGATTTGGTGTATGTTGAGTGCGCATCAGGTGCGTAACCACAGATTATGGGGCCCCATAGCATAATTTATATGGGGTCCCCCAGCAATCTCCCTACTGTCAATGATATTCAAGTCAGGTAACAGGGGAGCTGCCTGCATCTGATGTTACCACTTCTTGATTAATAATATCAGTGTCAGCAGCAACTTCTGCAATCCTTATTGGGGCCCCCTTCCACCCCCAGGCCCCATAGCAGCGGCATGGGCCGCTATGGCTATTGTTACGCCACTGGTGCGCATAAAAAATGTGGCAAATTATGGTTTATGGGGCCCATTAACTTTTACATTAAACAGTGTTTTTCAGGCTTTGTGCTTACTCCACGAATAACCATTAAAACTATTACTCTGAGTTTGCCTCCTCACACAGACTGCACCTGGCATGTCCAGCTGGTATTAGAACTGAACACCACAAGAAAACCAAAGAATGATTCACACAGAGATCTAAGTGCTGAAGGTGTGACAAGCGTTAGCACCGTCATGTTGTTCAAAGAGCCCCCCGCCAGACGGGTCACATGACCAAACTTCCTGCACGATAAAAGGAGATGTTTTGTAATGCTGGAGGCTGCAGCCATAACTATTCATGATCAATAGAATGTGAGCCGGCATGTAAAGACCTCTAAATGTAGACATCATTACCTGCAAATGATAGAGCCCTCTAATTAGCAGGCTGTAGCCATCGGCACGACTGAGGCTCTAATGAGGAGCCAAGTGCAAAAGTGGACAAAGTTTGCAGTAAGATGCACATTTTCAGAAAAATAAATCTACCAAAGTAATTTAACTCAGAAATAGTTTATAGAACAGAAAGATCAGCCCAGCTAGATATTCAATCACTGCAGGTCAATCTTCCTGGTGCATGTGTTTTAAATGTCAGTGATTGATTCACCACAAGCGAATGTTTGGTGCAAGTCACATTGACATTGGGCCCCATAAATCCTACTGTATATATAAAACTGTGCTGCCTGCATGTATAATCATTTATCCTTTATAGAACCCCAAGAGCCCTAAAACTTGAAAAGTTCTATAGCGCAAACACTGAATCAGTTTGAATGAAACGCGTAGGGTGGAGCTGCAGGTACTGATGTCATCGCACCACCAGCATTGCTGGGTACGGTAGCTTTTTATGTATAGGCTTTGCCAGCACTTTGCTGGAATTTTTAAAGAAGTATTAAGACTGTCTGTGCCATTGGCGTTTTTTTACTTTTTCTTTCGGGTGACATCTAGAAGATTGGCATAACCATACCAGCGATTTATCAACATCTGTTGCTGATGGTCCTGGATGTGTTTTTTTACACACAAGGGCATATTGATCTCTGCTCATTGGTTGCTCAACTGTTTGTTGAGTTGCCATCCTCACCACTTGGTGGTGATAACGTTGGCACAACAATCTCACAAGCACCACAGTGCTGTAGATTGGTCTTATATTTTATATAATGCATATTGACCTCTAATGTCTTGATCTCTAAAGATCTGGTGAATTGCCATTTTGTTTTAGGGTGAAGGTCATGGTTGGAGGTTGGAATCGATAAGGGTGAAGTCTCATTTTAAGCACTGCAGTTGTTGAAAATCTATAATGCAAACACTCCTGTACTGTCATATGCCCCCAGCCCTCCTTGTAAGCCTTAGGGGCCAGTTCACACAAGTGTGTTGTGGTGATGCAGTGAAAAACATCCATTATGGCAATGTGTGTACAGAAATGTGGTGTACTGCGATGCCATTCAACCCAACGGCATCTGTGTGGTGTGGTCTGCTGTGGTACAGCAGTGTGGTTTGTTGTGATGCCATTCAACCCAACGGAATCTGTGTGGTGTGGTCTGCTGTGGTATAGCAGTGTGGTGTGTTGCGATGCCAAGAGCAGCTCAATGCACTAACACAACACACTGCAGCGCGCATACGTTATAATGAACCACAGCACACCGATGTGAATGATCTGTGCTTTGCAGTGCGTTAAAAAGTGTAGCGCACCATTTTGTGTGTGTTGAAACCCATTTCACAAGGGCTGACCAGAGGGCAATCCGTGCACGCATCCCCTCCTCATTGGAGCGGTATGGATCGGATGTTACTGCTGTGACATCCGTGTCTGTCCAGTTTTTCCATTGCAAGATGGAAGAGAAAACTGAAATGATCAGACCCCATGTCAGTCTATGGGGAATTGGATGTAAATGGACATGTGTCCATTTACATTAGATTACCCCTGATCCAGCACGATCACGTCTGTCGAAACAAAGAAGTATTTCTTTTGTTTTTCTGGTCCTCACCAGAGTTGTGTGTAATCACATGCAAATCCATCCATTTACACCCGGCTGCCCATAGACTAAGATTGAGTATCTGATCGGGTCCACCTGAAAAAGTGACAGGCAGACCTGAACAGACCACCCGTGTGAAAGAGTCCTTTAAGGTGAACGGGCTTCATAACACAATGCATGATAAGACATGTTCCAAATTAGAGCAACACACCAATGTGAACTGGCCCTTATACTCACCTGTCCCTGATCCAGTGAGATATCACCCATCAAAAAGTCATACTCACCCAATCCTCCGAGCCGGCCAGCTATCACAGCCCTCCCTTTAGCCTTTCTCCTTCTCCGCTGCAGCGATGGTATGTTCCTTGCCATTCTCATGTCCTATACACTGTGTATTGGGCGTGATGATTCAAGGATCCTTAGAGTGCTGCAGCTGCACGTCTAAAAGCTAGATGGCTCTGAGGATCAGGTAAGCATAACTTTCTAATTTAATTCCTTAGACACAAACTAGCAGTTAACCTCACTTGGGCATAGCCCCACTGCAAGGGTTAATTAAAATGTTGCACGGAGCTCTTTTTTAATTACTTTTGACCTAAGTCCCCTTTCACACGGGCTGATCGGGAGAGGATACGTGCACAGATCCCCTCCAGATCAAAACAGTACAGAGCGGATGTCACAAAAAACGGAAACTGCAGGACCCCATGTCAGTCTATGGGAAATCTGATGTAAATGGACATAAGTAGCAAAGTCCTTATTAAAAACAAAAAAGTTATTAATGATCTGGTAGGTTCAGAGGAATCTGTGCTGCAATTTAAACTGTTAGGTCCCTGTCACACAGCCGGTCCAATCGGGTGACCCTGTCTGTTTTTCAGGCGGACCAGATCGGATGCCCAATGCAAGTCTACGGGCAGCCATGTGTAAACAGACGGGCGTCCTTTACATGAGATTAGCCCCGATCTGGCAAAATCCAGTCCAGCAAAACGGATCTCTGATCCGTCTGTTTCTCCGGATCTGGCCGGAGCCGGGGGTAACCGGGAGTAAACGGATGCCTGTCCGTTTACACACGGCTGCTCATAGACTTGCATTGGGCATCCGATCCGGTCCACCTGAAAAACTGACTGGCGGACCGATTGGACCGGCAGTGTTAAAGGGACCTAACAGTTTGAAATATAGCAGTTTCCCCTGAACCTAACTGATCATCATCGACTTTTACAACTTCATAACATAGACATTGCTACTTATGTTGTTAACCTTTGAACCTGTCACCCTTTCTGAATAAAATGCAGGTCCTCTTGACTCTTGAGTCGTATCCTCCTCATATTGCTTTATTACATAAAGTTGTGCCTTGTTCCTTTATGTGTTCTTTTAAACTGAAATAGACAAATATTTAAAAATATATAGCTTCAGTTTCCATAATTCATTCATCGTAATTTATAATATGAATTCATTTTGACCTAACAGTTAGGAAAACAGTGACCTTTAGCCTTGGTATACAAGATTTCCTGCATTAATATATAGGGATAAATCTCAATAATCACCATCACGCTACTACAAAACCTTTTGGCGTTCCCACGGCATGCTACGATTGTGTATTTAAAGCTCATATTCTTCAACAAATGAGGCTTTTTATAGGCTGAGAAAGAATGCAAACATCTGCAAAAAACTGAGCCCTCAGGGCCACTGTAGCTGGCAGCCCCCCTCTCCTAATCCCTCTTTGTTAGAGAATCTCCGAAAGGAAAAGCGACAGGAATCTACAGATATGGAATGAACTCATGCATGAGGTGTCTGTTAGCATTTAAAGCTGTGTGAACCATTGAGTGCAGGGACGCAATGAAACACACACACATGATAACTGTCACCAGAACTTTAGAAGACTTGTGAAAAGTTTGGAGAAAGTTTTCCCTTTCGGAGTAGAGAACTCCTGGAGAACTTTTTGACTTCTTTTGTGTACAGTCACCAAGTGCTGACACTGGGCAGGCTGTCTCAGATCATTAACCACACAGAGCCTTAAGGATGGTGAGCTAGCAGGGAGTGCTGAGACTATATAGACATGAACAGCATAGAGGAGGAGAAGACAGGAAGCTCTGGGCTGTTGGAGATAGTACATTGACCATTGTGGAGTACATTCACTGCAGCTGCACAGCATCAGGATGGCTTTACCTTGCTGCAGCTGGCTGTCCAATGAAGGATTAAAGCACCTCTTTCTGGTGAGATCCATTTCTGCTTTGTAATCTTTTGCTGGCAAACATTTCTCTAAATACAGCAAACTAAACTCCGCTGCTATCACTGTTACCGCTCAGTTTCCTACTGACTCCTAAGGGACACGTTCGGGGATTGTGGATTTGATGCTGGGATTTTCTTGCCCATGGTCATCAAAATGTATCAAACTTTTTCTGCATGTTATTTTCATGGTCCCCCTTACACTGTTTTTTTAGGTCACTTTTACACGGGCATCCCATTAATCCATTTTGACCCATGGTGGATGCACATCCTTTTACATCCAGAAGCTCATAGGGATTACATGGGTCGGTTTTTCCTCCATCACAAAATAGAGAAAGAAATGGAAAGGACCTGGATGTCATATATGTGACATCCGTCTCCATTCTGAATAAAAGGGATGACATTGGTCCATTTTTAAAACAAAAAGGTAATGAACATAGATGTCACATGTATGAGATCCATTTCCGTTCTGATCCAACTCAACAGGGGATCAATCTACAGAACAGGGGCGCCCATGTGAAGGGAACCTTAAAGCATATTTGTTCCTTTGTTGTTGACGCACTAAGGCAGCCTGATAATTTTCAATAGGTTGTCAGCAGACCTCAACATTTGATAAAAAAACACCTTCACTATTTTTGGCAAAGCTGTGCACCACAGCGCACATGGCACATCTGTGCATTATGGTGTGCTATAGGTGTGTATTTAGCTATTGCATATATATATTTGCCACCCCACTGTAATGCTCATATACCTATGCACTAATTTTAATGAAACTTTCCTGCAAAGAAAATATGGAGTACCCGCCTTCCCTGCTACCCTAGCTGCTGATCTTTTCAAACCAGAAGAGGAACCACTTCTGGGAGTGTCGATTTACCTAGTCCCCAAGTGCTGGGGTTCCTCCTACTGGCCCCTACGTCACTACAATCTTAGTAGTATCTCCTTCGCACACCATACTGATGTACCCCAGAATCCAATCGGTGCTGGAATAACTGGTGGATGGCGCCGCAGTAAGCAATGCATGTATGGATGGAGCGGCAGTAGCCTCAGCCTACCCCACCCCACCTCAAGCTCACACTCGGCGCAAGGCAGCATATTTTGAATGGCTGCTTGGTGTGAGAACTGACAGTGCTGCTCTAGGGGGAGGTTGAGGAGCCTCTCACCTAGAAAAGTGGAAGGCACAGGGTGACTCACTGAACACTGGGTTGCAACCCACTTTTGGGTCCAAAAAGGATCTAGAAGATATGTTGTCCGCATACACTACGTCACTACAGGACACAGGGGGTTTTAACCATGCCCTACTCTACCCAAAAAGGAAAAAAAATGTTTTGCCATTAGACATACTTTGAGAAAATGTTCCTATGCACTGTATATGTTTCATCTGTTTGTCTATGTATTTAGCTATTTGTTTAGAGAGAACTTTCACAAGTCTAAAATGTTTTTTTAGCTAACTTCCTTTCCTTACGGATGTTTTTTCTTTTTCTTTTAAACAGTTTTCCTGGCTTTCTCTCAATGCCTGGCTGTTCTGGAAGACTTTCACACTTTATTACAGCAGCCCGCAGTACTATTACTTGCACCAGATGCTGGGGGTAAGCAGTCACAGAGGAAGTGTTTTTATTTTTGGGGGGGAAGACGTGTGACAAGTATTTGCACTCGCTCCAGGCGTGCTCCTCTAAACGTGTGCTATGATCCTGCTGCAGTGGAAAAGCTGACAGACTAAGAACAAAAGCTGTCGTTTGCTTAGCTGCAGCAGCCTCTGGCAGGCTATGAATGAAGTGACAGATTGCCCACCTCCTTACTGGAGCTGCTCTGTGCTCAGCCTGTGGAATGAGGAAGCCGTGGGGTTTCAATTAGTCTCTGGGCAGGTAGGGAGGATGGATAGTCCACTTAGGACCAATTTAAATAGGCCAACGTGTTTACATTTCAACTCCGCACACCCTGTGCCCAATCATTCCAGAATAAACAGAAATGTTGAGAAAAAGCATATTTGACACCTAGGGTGGGTCATATTTTTACACTTTTCTCTTTTATAATTACAAAATGATTTTCAGTAATAATAATAATGGCTCGAAAAGTGCCTCCTTACATTGGTGGTCAGTGGGAAAGTGTCTCCTTACATTGGTGGTCAGTGGAAAAGTGTCTCCTTACATTGGTGGTCAGTGGAAAAGTGTCTCCTTACATTGGTGGTCAGAGGACAAATTTCCTCCTTACATTGGTGGTCAGTGGACAAGTGCCTCCTTGCATTGGTGGTCAGTAAAAAAAAGTGGTCCGTGGAAAGGCAGTCAGTATGCTGTCCCCGTCCATTGGTGATCAGAGATTAAGTTCCTCCTTAGATTGATGGTCAGTGGAGAAGTGTTCTCTTACATTTGTTTTCAGTGGAGAAATGCACCCTCAATGTAGCACCCTCTTACAGTCAGTGTATTGTTGTGTGGTGCAGTGGTTCGTGGAGAAGGGTCAAGCTATTATTGATAGCAACTGCAGAGAACTGCTACCTTCATGGTTATTGGAAAAGGGCCAAACTATATTTGATGATCAGTGGAGAAGGGCCCGCTTACATTGGGGTCAGTGCAGAGTCCCCTTGCAATAGTAGTGAGTGGAGAAGCATCCCCTTACTTTGATGGTCAATGTAGTGCCCCCTCACATTGGTGGTCAGTGCAGAATTGTCTTCTTACATTGGGGGTCAGTGGGGAAGGACCCCCTTACATTGGTGGTTAATAGAGAAGTGTTCACTTACATTGATGGCCAGTGGAGAAGTGTCTCCTTACATATGTCATCAGTGGAGAAGTGTCCCCTTACATTGATGGTCAGTGGAGATGCAACCCTTTATATTGGTATTCATTGGTCATTAGTGGGAGAATGCCCCTTTACAATGGCTGCCTGCTGGAAGCATTTTCAGTAATTGTAAAATATTTACCTTAAAGTGACTCTGTCATCCTTTAAAATTAAATGTAAAAAATGCTGCCTGAAAAAAGGCTGTTCATACTTTTGTTCATGGCTTTTGTACCCAAGTTGTGGTTCTAAGCTATCAAACTTTTATGCACCTGGAACATACTTAGCTAATTGAAACTAAAAGTTCAGTTGGGTTTTTAGAGAAGATATTCCCTGTAAATAAAGTTGAAAAGCAGTAATTGTTGCATATAAGGGAATGTTATAATTCTTCCTGTTTCCGGATATTGTTTACAGAGTCCTTGTGTTTAGACCATGATGTCAGGGTTGCGGTATAATCATTAGATCCAGGATAAGAGGCTGGCCGGTAGCCAGTGTAACCCCAGGGGACTGAAGTGAGTCAGGATATTATCTGACACTCACCTAACATCAATAGCAGCTGTTCAGCTATCAGACTGACATTGGTAAAATGCGTTAAGTTGAGTTGGAGTATCTGTTGTCAATTACTTCATTTTTTTGTAATATATCTTACTGCTGGGCTCATACATATGGGTGCTTCACATTGTTCATCTGTGTGCTTTCTCAAAGCTACAAGCTGCATACCTCCCAACTGTCCCTCGTTTTGAGGGACTGTCCTCCAAGTGCAAACAAGTCCTTTTTCTCTTTCCTCCTCAGTTGTCCCTCCTTTTGGTCTGATGTACAAGTACCTATAGAAAGGATCTATTCAACTACCAAATGTGTTAGGCCCCATTCACACCAGGGTGGTGGCGGATCAGCACGGTTTCCGCGCTGATTTTACAAGGGCTGTTTTGGGAGTTTTTAATTGCGTTTCAGCGCTGAAATGCAATTAAAAACGCTTAGGGTCTTAGGGAGCAATTCAGGCAGGGGCGGTTCGGATCGCGCAGACCCGCGTGGTCGCATGAACGGTCCCATAGCAATGTATGGGATAGTACATGTCGGCGGATCCGCGCGGTCGAACCGCCCGGGAGTGAATGGGGCCTTATTCTGTACTAAAACCTTCATTTTGTCTCCTAAATATCTTGTTTGCTATCAAAAGGTCAGTATAAAAAAAGTAAGCGAACAGTGGAGAAAAAAAAATTATTCTCTGTTTAACAATCAAATTTTTAATGGTCCACATGTGCTGGAAGATGGCACTCTTTCTCATTTTAGAAAGTTGGAAGTTGTGTCCAACTGTCTCTTATTTGACTGTACCTCTTGTGCAAGCCACTCTTTCTGTCCCTCTTTTCTCCTCCGTTGTCCTTCTTTTTGGTATGATGTATAGACCTCTATTAAAATTTACTTTTTAGGGCCGGTTCACGCAATAAACAGTGTGTTCCAGAGCGGTCAGCCTCTGGAACACACTGTATCGCATTGCGGTCGGCTTCCTGAGTTCAGGGGCGGGAGGGAGCATTGAAGTCAATGGCACTGCAGCCATGCCCCCACCCACAGTGCGATTGCCCACACCAGACCACGTGGCATATCAGTGCTTGCATTCCGGCCCAATACGATCTGGAAAAATGCTACAAGCAACGCCCTGCCACGCCCCCTCCCGCGCCTGAATGCAGGAAGCCAGCCGGAATGCAATACAGTGTGTTTCAGAGGCTGACCGCTCTCTGGCCAAAATGTAAACCCTTTTTCAACCCTCTAATCCACTCACCTTATTGTTTGTAAACATAATTTTAAGCAATTTTATACTCAAAAGTATGCCTTCCGTGTTCCTTATCAGCTCAGTTTCTGGGTGCCGGAGTCAGTAATTCAGCTCTGCAAAGAAGCCCACAACTGCTAGTCTCCACAAGTTTCCTTGTGCTGACATCATCCTTACATGGTCTCCTCTGGATACTAAGAGGACCCTACCGCTGGACAGCCAATAGGAGTCCACATCATGCAGACGGTAATGTGGACACCTGACGAAGGACCTCACCTCCTGTGCACAGAAGAAATGAGAAGACTCAGGACTGGAACTTCACTTGACCAGGAGTTTAGGTGGGTAAAAGTGGTAGTTTTTTTTCTTTTCTATGGGTGTACAGTATGTGTAAAGAGGCAGTCAGGAAAGTAGCTTTAAAGGAGAACTATGAGGTGAGTGCTTTTCACTCACCTCATAGTTCTAGCCGACCTGTGACAATGAGACTGTCACAGGTCGGCTCAGTAGATCGGGAGGTGAGCGAGCACATACCGGTGTTCGCTCACTTCTCGATCCTGTCACGGCTCTCTACCGTGACAGGGGAAGGGCTGGATTCCCCCCTCCCCGCTTCGATCCACCAGCGCTGACTGGCGGAACGGACGGGGGAGGGGGTGGCGGGTACAGCTGGCTCTGCCTCTAGATAGGCAGAGCCAGCTGTCACTCACGCAGCTGGGTCGGATCTCGACATCGATGTCGGATCCGCTCCGGCTGCGGCGTCTCAGTATACCACGAGCTGTAGCTCGCGGTATACTGAGCTCAAGGTGACGGGAGGACGCTAGTTTGTGTTACCCTAAGGAGAACTATGGGGAAAAGCCCTGACCCCAAAGTTCTCCTTTAAAGCTGAAATTATAGATATGAAAGACACATTTAAGCAACTTTATAATCATTAACCACTTCAAGACCAGGTGTTTAGACCCCCTTCCTGGCCAGACCATTTTCCAGTATTCTGTCGGGGTCACGTCGGGTAAATAGATACCAAACATGTCAAGCTTTAAAATTGTGCGCACCCGCGAAATTGCAGAAAACTACCATACCCAAAATTGGCCATAGGCGACACTTTAAAAGCTTTTACCGCTCATCAGTTTAGTGTTATCAGTGATTGATGGCCCTAAAACTATTGCTCTCACTGCGACGTTCGCGGCGATATGTAACATGTGCGGCGTAATGGGCGCAATCGTCGTTTTTGCAAGTATGCGCCCCCGACGCATGTTTTGCATGCGTGTATGTATGGGTTGGGACTTAAAACATTTTTGTGTTTTTTTATTCTTTTTTATGTGTAACTTTACAGTTTTTTTTGGGGGGGGGACTTAAATTTTTTTTTTTACTAAACTTTATTGCTATCACATACGGGACTAATAAAAACCCCCTATGTGATAGCAAAATATGTGACAGGTCCTCTTTATGGAGACATCAGGGGACAGTGAAAGGAGAAGCAGCCCATCCCAGGTTAGCCGTACATTTACCAAAAATAAAATAGCACTGCAGCATGAAAGATTATTTTGACAGGGTAACCCAATGTCACCTTCTGAAATAAAGTTTTGGGGGTTTTTTTGTACAGATTTCAACGTTATATGTGTTGTAACACACAACAAGAGTCTATATAAATATTGTGGCAGACGCACGTCTGTCATTGTGTACAAGCAAAAGGAAGATGACTTTTTATCAGGCAGTTTTTACAAAAAAGTCTTATAAAGCTGATACTGCTAAAACTTACAGGGTTGTTCACTAAAGGGTGAAGAGTTTGGAGAAGACAGGAGAAGTGAACAATCTAGGACAACATAGCTGATTTGGAATAATTCTCCAGTTTAGATCACTTTCTGGTTCAGCTATGTTGTCCTAGATTGTTCACTTACATAGTAACTTACACTTCTCCTGCCTGCTTCAAACTCTTCACCCTTTTGTGAACAACCCTGTTAGTTAATCTCTTGGCGCTAATGGTTTCTGTCATACAATCCTCCAGAAGTTATCATTCTTTCACACAATTCAGGGGGGCTTCTCATTTTTATTTATTTATTACAGGTA